AGTTTAGAAATAGGAATGCTCTCCCATTCATGTCTAATACAGGCCTCTAACTGTTCAATCGTCTTGGGCCTTCTTTGTCACACCTTCCTCTTTATGATGCGCCAAATGTTCTCTATAGGTGAAAGATCTGGACTGCAGGCTGGCCATTTCAGTACCCGGATCCTTCTCCTACGTAGCCATGATGTTGTGATTGCTGCAGAATGTGGTCTGGCATTATGGTGTTGAAAAATGCAGGGTCTTCCCTGAAAGAGATGACGTCTAGATGGGAGCACATGTTGTTCTAGAACCTGAACATAGTTCTCTGCATTAATGGTGCCTTTCCAGACATGCAAGCTGCCCATGCCACAAGCCCTCATGCAACCCCATACCATCAGTGATGCAGACTTCTGAACTGAGCGTAGATAACAACTTGGGCTATCCTTGTCCTCTCTGGTCCGGATGACATGGCGTCCCAGTGTTCCATAAAGAACTTCAAATGGTGACTCATCTGACCACAGAACAGTCTTCCATTTTGCCAAACTCCATTTTAAATGACCCCTGGCCCAGTGCAAACGTCTGAGCTTGTGGAGCTTGCTTAGAAATGGCTTCCTCATTGCACTGTAGAGTTTCAGCTGGCAACGGTGGATGGCACGGTGGATTGTGTTCACTGACAATGCTTTCTGGAAGTATTCCTGAGCCCATTCTGTTATTTCCTTGACAGTGGCATTCCTGTTTGAGGTGCAGTGATGTTTAAGGGCCCGGAGATCACGAGAATCCAGTAGAGTTTTACGGCCTTGACCCTTACGCACAGCGATTGTTCCAGATTCTCTGAATCTTTTGATGATGTTATGCACGGTTGATGATGATAACTTAAAAGTCTTTGCTATTTTACGCTGGGTAACACCATTCTGGTATTGCTGCACTGTCTTTCTGTGCAACAATGGTGGAATTGGTGATCCTCTTACCATCTTGGCTTCTGAGAGACACTGACACTCTGAGAAGCTCTTTTTATACCCAATCATGTTGTCAATTGACCTAATTAGTGTTAATTGGTCTTCCAGCTGTTCGTTATATGCTCAGTTTCCTTTTTCCAGCCACTTATTGCTACTTGTCCCAACTTTTTTGGGATTTGTTGACACTGTGAAATTTTGAATCAACATATTTTTCCTTTAAAATGTTACATTTACTCAGATTAAACTTTTGATCTGTCATCTATGTTATATTACGAATAAAATATTGACATTTGCCATCTCCACATCATTGCATTCAGTTTTTATTCACAATTTCTTTAGTGTCCCAACTTTTTTGGAATCCGGATTGTATATATATATATATATATATATATACTATAGGAATAAGGGACTTGTAAAAATCTTTAGCCACATTAAGAATGCTTTTCTTTGTTTATGTACATTAGTCCCTCACTTATCGCAGGGATTAAGTTCCAGACACTCATGCGATCGATAAAAATCCGTGAAGTAGGGACTTTATATTTATTTTAGTACTTATATATATTTTAAGACTTTATAAACAGGGCTTGATTTGTAAATCGATCGATGCCGGAATGCAAATAGCAGGCAGGCCAGCCGGGGGGGTCCTGTGAGATGTGCATTCTCACGAGAAGAACCTGACAAGTTGTTTAATGACATAAAATATATTTTGTTAGCAAAGAATAGAGTCCTGATATTTATTAAACATTACCTCTGTATTTACAAAAAAAAAAAGAAATCTAAATTGTGTTTTGACAATCTCATCGATAAAACTAAAACATTTTGTTAACGTGAAAGAGGAAGAGAGGGGACTGGTATCACTCTCGCTTTGAGTTATATTCTTTGTCGCACGCTGGCTGTGGATGACAAGCGTCCAGAGCGTCATAAAAACAGCAGCTGACTGAGGAGGTGAATATATTTTGTTAGCAAAGAATAGAGTCCTAACATTTTTTTAAACATTACTTCTGTATTTACAAAAAAAAAAAGCATCAAAATTGTGCTTTGACAAACTCATCGATAAAACTAAAACATTTTGTCAACACGAAGCGAGGGACTACTGTACAGTGTTTTTATTCAAATGTGTATACAGAGGAAATTGTTTTATAGTAGACAGTCTAAATTGAATTTTTCCATGCAATAAAGTACATTTAATGAAGATAAGTAATAATAATGGAATCTTAATGTCTCTTACCCACAATGCTTCATGTTCTGTGGCTTGTCCATGCGAATGGCCAGTTTTATTTTGAGGTCATCTGGGCAGCCTTTAGAAACTGACATTTTATGGAGCTCACATTGTTTGGGACTGTTGGGAGTTGGATGAAGAACAATCTGGAAAAAGCCACGTATAAAAAATGCATCTGAATCAATAAATAAGATCAAACAAGAGGTATGCTGATGTCCCCCATCGCTGAGGGAGTTGAATATTTAATGTAGTTTTGTTTTGTTTGTCCGAGGGAGCACAGAGTGACAAATCCTGGTGACTGGAGGGAACAATTTTATCCACCTGGTGGAGCCAGGGGGTGGCCAACGGTGGCCTTGGCCATCATAGGTTAATCTTTGGCCACCCCAATTATTTGAATAAACTATACTTTTAAGCAATATTAAAACTAGAAAGAAATAGTTTTCTCAAATGATAGGGGTGGTCAATGTTTTTTTTTCAATTCAATTAAGGTTTTACAAATATATATGGAAGTGATCATTGTGGATTTTGACATAGAGACCCAGTTTCTGAAAGGAATCTTTCTTACACCTGAAGGTAGTCACACAAAAATGAACGTTGATACCTGACTTATTTTTCAAGTTTTAATGCTCACAACACAGACAGATGCATGGATGGACGGTATTTTCAAATCCACATCTTCAATCCATGACGGGACAATGAATTATTAATAAATAAATAATTATTAAATGAGCTAAATAAATTACTTACCCAAAAAAGTTCAATCTGGTCCTCTGGACATTCAAAAAAACAAAAAAACAAAACAAAGCAAAAAAATATAGAAACGTTTCGTCTCTCATCCAAGAGACTTCCTCAGTCTGAGGTGCTGTTTTCAGCTCAGTCTCTTAAATAGCACCTTCTCAGGGTGGATCAACCAGTTTGCTGCTGACAACCAAAACCAGCTGCTCACATGGTCAAGAAGGACCATCAGCCTAACAATGGATCATTAGCACCTGATGGCTGTTTACTGTTCACAGAGGGCTGAGTGATACTAGCAATCACAGCATTGTAAGAGGGGGACAGTTGAACCCGGAGGCTCCGCCCCTGTTTAACGATGGACGGTTTCTTTTCACAAAGATGGCCTCCTTTACTCCTCTCTCAAACCATCGTTCCTCTCTGTCCAGGATGTGAACATCTTCATCCCTGAAAGAGTGGCCGCTGGCCTGGAGATGAGTGTAGACCGCAGAATCCTGGCCTGATTATGTTGATCTTCTGTGCTGGTCCATCCTTTTGGCCAGTGGCTGTTTAGTTTCCCCGATGTAAGACTGATCACAGCCCTCCTGACACTGAACAACATACACAACATTACTCTGTTTGTGCTTGGTGACTGGATCTTTGGGATGAACCAGTCTTTAATGTATTTTGGGGTTTAAAAGCCACTGGGACGTTATGTTTAGAAAATAAACGTCTCAGTTTCTCTGATACTCCCTCAACATATGGAATGACCACTGGTCTGGGTCTGGGTTCCTCCTTTTCACCTGATGGCTGACTGGAGTCCTGTTTGGGTTTCTTCTCTGCTTTCAGGAAGGCCCAGTTAGGATATCCACATTGCTCAAGAGCCTGTCTTGTGTAGGATTTCTCCTTCTGCCTGGCTCCTGAGTTATTGGGGATGTTGTCTGCTCTGTGGTACAGAGTCCTGATGACTCCTAACTTGTGCTCCAAAGGGTGATGGGAGTCAAACTGCAAATACTGGTTTGTGTGGGTGGGTTTGCGGTATGGTCCTTCTTGACCATGTGAGCAGCTGGTTTTGGTTGTCAGCAGCAAACTGGTTGATCCACTCTGAGAAGGTGCTATTTAAGAGACTGAGCTGAATACAGCACCTCAGACTGAGGAAGTCTCTCGGATGAGAGACGAAACGTTTCTATATTTTTTTTGCTTTGTTTTGTTTTTTTGAAAGTCCAGAGGACCAGATTGAACTTTTTTTGATTATACTACCTGAATTATTGAGCATGCATCAGGAAATTACTTACCCTGCCAAGCTCCTTATCTTCCAGAGCCAGCACACCTGTGCTCTCAGTGAACAACTTCACCTTTACTGCAGGTAATGGCTGGGTGGTGGTAAAGTCCCCCTGAGTTCCCCAACTACACCGAGGAATACACAAACACAAGAAAGGAGGTTGTGGGACAGACTCGAGATTGAGTCAGTTACTGACCAACAAAAGCTGTCAAGAATGAATACAGCTTTAAAATGAGTTTTTATTCTAATAGTGCATGGTTTTATTTTAACAAAAATATCTTTACAGCAGGTATATAAAAGTGAGCAAGGAGAAGAATGTTCAATGGGCAAATAAAATAGCTGGAGAATATATTTGGTGAGAACTAAACATCCTAACTACCTTCTCACTGCAGTTTTTCCATTTTTTTTAAGACCCAGACACAATATGATAGGTTTTGTTGGTCATGAAGAGCATAACAGTGTCACTCAATGGAAAGAGAGCCTCACTTTAGCAGTGTGTTTAAAAAACATGTATGCATCATGCAGTGTTAATATGTCCTACCCTTGATTGGTCACTATGTACATCAGGGGCGATTCTAGAATATGTCCTTTAGGGGTGCTTAGCTCCCAGTGTTGACAATGACTCTTGGCTTGAATAATGCAGTGGCCATTGGCATCAGAAGCATTTGTAAAGTGTGTGTGTGTGTGTGTGGGGGGGGGGGGGGGAACACTGATGGAGAGGTCTGATGGTCTTCCCCCAGAAAATTTTGAACAAAGTACTGGTAGATGTCTAGATGCCATTTCCTACATTCTGGTGTATTTTAACGGGTTGTTTAAAATCTATGTTTACCTACATAAGTAAACATTTGATTCAATAACTATTTTAGAGAGCATGGCACAAGAAGTAGTGCTTGTAAGGATGGTATCCCTGTGCCTGTCTTCCTGTGTCTGTACTCCTTAGTGTTTCTCATTAATTACCCTGATCAGTTTCACTCGCGTGTCCTCCAGATGTTTGTAATTTGTCTCATCTAGTCTGTGTATATAAGCCCTGGTCTGTGTCTCAGTCTTTGTCGGTCCATCGTCTGGCATCCTCCTGTGTCCCTGGCGTATCCTGATTTGTAAGTGTTTGCTGTCATGTCAGCTACTTATTTTCATTATTAAAGTGTTTATTTATTTTACATCATGGCCTATGCATCCTGCCTACACAAATGGGTATGTTCCCTGATCAGCTCAGTTTGAAAACCGTGACAGTATGGACCGACCAAACCAGAACCCAGCAGGCAGAGTTTCTTCAACCTCATTCACCTGTTTGCTCGAGCCCACGCAGATGGGGGAGACCGTGATCTAGTGCAGCAGGTTTCGGACCAAATCCGCCCAGACACAAGGATGCTACAGCCAGGAGGTAGAGATCTTGCCTTCACCCCTCCTGGTCCTCGAAGAAAAAAGAAGGTCCGGGTGGACTGCCTGATGTGCAAGCTCAGTTCCTCCTCATCTTCAGCCCCATTTGGCTACTCGAGATGGACGTTGGGGGAGGACGCGGAGCCGGAGGACAAGCTCTGTTTCATTCCTGCCCCATCCTCATCACCACCACTAGAGCAGCAGAAAATGGACCTGGAAGCGGTCCACCACGCTTGTTCTGCCACCATTGGCTCGGCCCGGCCAAGCTGCGTTTCCTAGGAGCGGTCCCAACTCTCCAGTGGGGATGGGTCCCATCGCCTCACCTTCCAGGGTTCTGGTGAGGGCGAAATCTGACATCTCACCATCAGCTGCTCCTGCTCAGTCTGGCGAGACAGAGCGAGCCCAGTCCTAGAGTCTCCACCGGGGCGGGTCCCATCACCTCACCTCCCAGGGTTATGGTGAGGGTGGAACTCACCACCTCATCACCGCACAGAGCTCCTCCTATGACTGGACAACTCACCTCAGCTCCTACCCAGTGACCTCACCCAAAATAAACCGGACTTTACAAAATCTACTTTCCTCTGCTAAAAACAACACAGACTGTCAAGACACTATGCTCTACCTTGCTGAGAAATTCTTATTATCTTTACCTGGTCTAACCCAACTCCCTGAATAGCAGCAGCTTTTGGTTGAAATTAGGACTCTGAACATACACGTCACAGACCCAGCTCAACAGCCAGACCCCCCACTTTACAACAAGTCCCAGACTCCACTGCTGCAGAACAAGTCCCTGGCTCCCCGGCTGCAGAGTCTATTTCTGAAAAGGGTCCTGAGTCCAAGAAAGAGCTTGGGCCTGACCCTGGCCCTGAACCACACCGTCGCCACCCTAGGAGAGGTCGATGGCAGAGAGGTTCCAGAGACTCTGCCCCTGTCCCAGAACATGACTCAGCCCCTGTCCCAGTGCTTGACCTGGTCCCTCAGCCTGACTCACCTTCTTAAATACCCCTGGGTACTGGTCCCAATTCCCCACTTCTCCATCTCTGTGGAGTTGGATCAGAAGTCTCACCATCTCCCCCTGTATCGGTGGGAAATGGTCCTGATGCCCTACTTCTGTGTGTCTTCGTGGGGATCAGACCAGAGGCCTCACCATCTCCCTCCTGTTCTGCTGTAGGGGTCCAAGTAGGTTCTTCTCCTGCCTGCTCTGCTGTGCGGGTCCAAGCAGGCTTCTCTCCTGCCTGCTCTGTCGGGAGGGTCCAGACGGACTCCTCTTCCGCCTGCTCTGCTGTGGGGGTCCAGAAGGACTCCTGCCTGCTTTGCTGTGAAGGTTCCTAGGTCTCCTGCAGTTCTGCACCTCCAGAGGATTCTGCACCTCCAGAGGGCTCTGTACTACATACATTTCTAGAGGGTCCTATGCTAGCTGTGCCTCTAAAGGGTCCTATGCTAGCTGCGCCTCCAGAGGGTCCTATGCCAGCTGTATACCTGGTCCATGTCGATCGAGGCTTTCAAGCTGCTTGAGGTCCCCAAGTTGTCCGAGGTCTCCACGTTCGGCACATCTTGGGTCTTCGCCTCACCTTAGGTCCATGCCTCACCTCGGGTACACGCCTCACCTCGGTTCCTCGCCTCACCTGGCTCCATGCCACTTGAGGTCTCCATATCCGGCACGTCTGCTGTCCACACCTCACCTCATCTCCAAGACTCATCCAGGCTCCATGCCGCAACCTGTGGATCCTGTGTCATCCCAGAGTTCCAGGTCCCAGAGTTCCAGGTCCGAGAGTTCCAAGTCCAAAAGTTCCAAGTCCGAGAGTTTCAAGTCTGTTCCTGATTCTGCCCTGGCCTCCCGGTTGTCTGCCTGACCTGCTTTGGTCTGTTGGACAGTCTCCTGGCTGCCTGCCTGACCTGTTTCCACTTGTTAGATGGCCTCCCGGCTGCTCGCCTGACCTGTTTCTGCCTGTTGGACAGCCTCCCAGCCATCCATCTGAACTGTAACCAGGCTAGGGATGGTCTCCTGACCGTCCAGACTTTCTTTATGTTCTCTAATTTTGTTTAGTTTAGGTCCCAGGCCCTTGTCCTGGCGGTTTTTGTTTTGCCCTCGTATGTTTCTTATGCCCTCCATCCTTGCGGTACCTCCCTCCTCCCACCCAAGTCTTTTGGGGTGGGCCTTTTTGGGGATGCCAGGGGGCATCCTTGGAGGGAAGGTACTGTAAGGATGGTATCCCTCTGTCTGTCTCCCTGTGTCTGTACTCCCTAGTGTCTCTTATTAATTACCCTGGTCAGTTTCACTCGCGTGTCCTCCAAGAGTTTGTAATTTGTCTCGTCTAGTCTGTAAGCCCTGGTCTGTGTCTCAGTCTTTGTCAGTCCATTGTCTGGTATCCTTCTGTGTCCCTCGCATATTCTGATTTGTGTTTGCTGCCATGTCAGCTACTTATTTTCATTATTAAATGTTTATTCATTTTACATCATGGCCTATGCATCCTGCCCGCACAAATGGGTTTGTTCCTGCTCAGTTCAGTGTGAAAACCGTGACAATGCTAAGCTAGCAGTGCTCAATGCAGATGTGCTAGCTAAGATGCTACAGACATAGCACTCCGCTTTTCATTACACAACCTAATAAACACTTTGTACAAAATCAATTTAGTGTTAACTGATCATTAAAAAAACTAAACTTATACAACCAGAAGTTGCAACATATATCTACATATAAAAGACACAAAGCACAACTAGCTTTAAGTCTTTCTTTCAGACCAAAATTGATAACATGTATAGTTCCCTTGATTTTGTCTCTGCTCACAAAGCTCCTCCAAATTCACCTCCCTCCAGCTCCAGTCAGCAGCTCTCACACTTCACGCCAATCTCTTCTACTCAACTGACTAAACTTTTATCTGGTATCAAAACTACCACCTGCTCTTTGGATCCCATTCCCTCTCCTCTTATCAAAAGTTGTCTCCCCATTGTCTCTTTTCAGATCCCAAGAATCATCAACTCCTCACTTATAGTACACCTCAAATCTTGTCTCCCCCCCACCCTGGACCCCCACCAATTTGCATACCGCCAGAACAGGAGCACAGAGGATGCAGTATCCATAGCGCTGCACTCTGTTCTCTCACACTTGGATAACAAAAACACCTATACCCGGATGCTGTTCATATATTTTAGTTCAGCATTCAACACAGTCATCCCTTCAAAACTCATCACAAAACTCACAGACTTGGGCATCAATTCCCTCATGTGCAACTGGTTACTGGACTTTCTGACCAACCGACCCCAACATGTCCGGCTGGATAACCACTGCTCATCTACCATCACTATTAACACAGGTGTACCACAAGGCTGTGTGATGAGTCCCTTCCTCTACTCCCTCTTCATCCATGACTGCAAACCTGCTGATGGTTCCAATACCATCATTAAGTTTGCAGATGACACCACGGTGATCGGCCTCATCAAAGACAACGATGAGACTGCTTATAGGGAGGAGGTGGTTCGTCTGGCTGAGTGGTGTGACACCAACAACCTGCTGCTCAACACTGAGAAGACTAAGGAGCTCAACGTGGACTTCAGGAGGAACGCTGGCCCACATCCACCCATCTACATCAAGGGGACGGTGGTGGAGCGTGTGAACAGCTTCAAGTCCCTGGGTGTCCACATCTCCGAGGATCTCACCTGGACGACCGGCTGTTCCAAGCTGGTCAAGAAGACTCACCAGCGCCTTTTCTTTCTGAGGACTCTGAGGAAGAACCACCTGTCCTCAGAC